TAAGATTAAATCTACCTATTTGGATTCTGACCTGGTCTCAGATTTTCCATCACAAATAAAAGGTGGAGACATAAATTTGCAACGATGGCATCGTTTTAATTATCTGCCAGGACAGGGCATGTGCAGTCTGAGAGAGCAGGGTGAAGGGGAAAGGGGAGAGTGGGAGCTTCACAGGCCTGGTTTCCAATCCAAGCATCATCACTTACTGCAGGGCTTTCACCCAAATGCCTGTTTTCCTAGAATTTCAATTTCTTTCCTGTTCGGTATGGTAAAGGTAGTGATAATATCTTCCTCAGGCCATTATTGTGCGAGGATTAAACGAGAAAATAAATAATGCATATAAAAGGGACTTACACAGCTCCTGGAACATGGGGTTGCCTTAGGTCAGTCAGTATTCATGTTACCTTCTGCCTTGCTTCCTGTAAAACAACAACAAAATAACCCTCTTCTGTAGGTCTAACAAAGGAAGTAAAAAAGGATGTTTCTTTACTTCCCAAACCAATTAAACATGAACTAAAATAAACTATAGAATGAGCAAGGAGAAATTTAGATTTGCGGCTCTTTTAGATTGTAAAGAGACTCTAGTTAACCTAGTTAACTAGATAAAGATAAAGGAAACTAATTAGCCTAAGGGAATCTCCCAGTGACAAAATTGTAAGGACACCTAAAATTGTACTGAATGCCTCCAGAGAATGGAACCTGAGGGCATATTCAGAGAATTGACAGTGTGATAATTGATTCTACAGAAACTTTAGTGTAACAACAGCAAAGGAAAAAACTGTCATTAGCGTGCATGCCACTGATACTATTGTATATTTGCACATTCTCTCTGACATGAATTTTTTAGTACTGTGTTCATCACTACTTGTATTTGCCATGTATAAATTCTGATGTTTAAATACTGTTCGTAATTTGTAAATGTTCCTAAACTAATAGTATCCTGTCACTGATTGACATTTTCTCAGAAAACATCATTTGCATTCAATTCCCCAAGTGCCCCGACTGTACTGTCTTGGGTAATATTCCTGTAATATAATCTCCTGGAGGTGACATTGCAAAAAAAGTGTGTGGAAGAGTTTTTTGTGCCCTCCTTGAGAATTGTCACACATCTCTGATGCTACATAAAGTAAAGTCATTGTTACAAATAAGATTTTTCAAGTGCAAATGAGCTTAATGTGGCCCGTTCTCAGTCCTCCCTTTGCCATAAGAGGGTTAATTTTTAGAAAATATTTTTTAAAACAAAAACTGCAAAAGTTGCTGCTACATCCAAAAATCAACTTGGTTACTATTAAAATTATATTTAATAGAGTTGCCATAGCCAAGCTTCTATTTTTTCGGTTGGCTATACACAGATGTGGATCTAAAGGAGGAAATGTGTGACTTTCATCTTGGGTTGATAATTTTGTGTTGATTACAAATTATATAGAGGGAGGAATGTGACATAAAGTGAAAGGAAGGTAGGGGAAAGAAAGAGGAGGACAAGGAACGCATGTTCACTGGCTGGGAGAACCAATTTTGGAATCAGAAAGACTTATTCAAATCAGAGTTCCTCAACTTATTAGTCATGCGACCTCTGGCAATTTATTGAACTTCTCTAAATTTGTTTTCTTATGTTAAAAAGACAACTACATCACTGTGTTATATTGAAAACTGAGTAAGAAAATGTGTCTAAGTTCTTGTGAGAGTGTCTTGAATATAGTAAACACTCAAGTATTGTACTTGATCAGTGATGTTATTACCTTTTTATATAACAATAATAAGCACCCAAGTATTATTACTTATTTATTGTGGTTATTATTATGACCATTATTTAAAAAAGAAAGAATACAATTGATCTGTGATGGTCAATACTCACTCTTGGCTAATTTTAACTCACAGTTTCCCTCTGGCCAACTCCCACCCTAAGAATGAGTAGAGTGGCTCTTTCTGGCCTGGGCAATGAGAGGGCATTTGATTCCACACTATGCTACAGGATAGAGCTTTAGGCTGCACTTAACAAAGCAAGGGGTTGACCCACTCTTGTAAATAGCATCATCCCCCAAGGATGGCTAAGTGAATGATACAGACATAGGCCAAGCCTCAGGAAAAGATCCAAGCTCTAAGATTCTTGCTATTAGTGGTCTTGTTCCTGCTTTTTTTTTTTTTTTTTTTTTTTTTGAGCAGCACTTCTTTGACACACAGAAT